GCTGGCCACGTTTCTTTTGAGGCAGCCCAGGATACGGTTGGCTTTCTGGGCTGCCAGCGCACATTGCTGCCTCATGTTGAGCTTCTCATGAACCAGCACTCCCAAGTCCTTTTCCTCAGGGCTGCTCTCAATCCATTGTCTGCCCAGCTTGTACTTGTGCTTGGGATTGCCCTGACCCACGTGCAGGACCTTGCACTTGGCCTTGTTGAACTTCATGAGGTTCTCACAGGCCCATCTCTCCAGCCTGTCAAGGTCCCTCTGGATGGCATCCCTTCCCTCCAGCGTGTCCACAACACCACACAACTTGGTGTCATCTGCAAACTTGCTGAGGGTGCACTCAATCCCACTGTCCATGTCACCAACAAAGATGTTAAATAGCACTGGTCCCAGTACCGACCCCTGAGGAACACCACTCGTCACAGGCCTCCACGTGGACATTGAACCGTTGACCACAACTCTTTGAGTGTGACCATCCAGCCAATTCCTTATCCACCAAGTGGTCCATCCATCAAAACCATGTCTCTCCAGTTTAGAGACAAGGATGTCGTGTGGGACAGTATCAAATGCTTTGGATAAGTCCAGGTAGACAATGTCAGTTGCTCTTCCCCTATCCATCAATGCTGTGACCTCATCATAGAAAGCCACCAGATTAGTCAGGCAGGGTTTGCCTTTAGTGAAGCCATGTTGGCTGTCACCAACCACCTCCTTATTTTCTATGTGCCTCAGCATAGTCGCCATGAGGATCTGCTCCATGATCTTGCCAGGCACAGAGGTGAGACTGACTGGCCTGTAGTTCCCTGGGTCTTCTTTTTTTCCCTTTTTAAAGATGGTAGTTATGTTTCCCCTTTTCCAGTCAGCGGGAACTTCACCAGATTGCCACGACTTCTGAAATATGATGGATAGTGGCTTAGCAACTTCATCTGCCAGTTCCCTCAGGACTCGCGGATGCACCTCATCAGGTCCCATGGACTTGTCCACCTTCAGGTTCTTTAGATGGTCTCGAACCTCATCATCTCCTACAGTGGGTGGTTCTTCATTCTCCCAGTCCCTGCCTTTGCCTTCTGTGACTTGGGCTGTGCAGCTGGAGCTCTTGCCAGTGAAGACTGAGGCAATCCTGTGCTCCCACATATTTAGTAGGGGTGTTGGCTTCCACTTTGTCTTCTGTAGGTTACCATGAAATCAGATTCAGGTTTTTGGCTCAGTAACTCCTGCAGCTGGCACGAATAACGTGGAAACTTGGTGCTTGGTTATTTTGATCTAGGCAAATACAGAATGGCTTCAGGTTATTTTAAATGTTGCGGGTTTTTTCCCTGTTACGTTCCTACTACTTCTTCCTACCTATTTGTCTGCCCCCTCCATTCTACCATTCTCATCAATATCCCATTATCAGCTGCTTTTGCTGGCAGACACTAACCCTGCTTCCAAATTGTCTTCCTCAAGGGAGAACAACTGTTTCAAGGAGATTCAATTCACAATGTCAAGCACCAGCAAATAAGATTTAAAGCCAGGGGAAGTGACTGATTTAGGGTAAGCAAATCAAAGGCCCCAGTAACATAAGTCTGACTGTAATGGGGTGCTTTTGTTTCTGACTTCTTTTTCAGGGGATGTGAAATGTTTTGGAGAGGATTGTTATGCACTGGCATTCGGTGTCCCAGCAGCACTGATGGTGTTGGCTCTTGGTAAGTGGAAACAATAATGCTTGTAATAGGAGTTACCATTTTTGAGTCCATGGGTAAATGAGAAAAGGCACAAATGCCCTAGCTCTGAATGGATGCTCTGATGGGAAACTCAAGGGTTCAAGGTCATCCAACAATTCCACAGTTCAGAACAGCAAGAAAAATCCCTAGTTCACTTAGTGGTGGGCAGACAATGGTTTTACTGCAATCCTTTATCATGATACTGATGACAAGATGGTCTGGTGGATGTTTCACAATACAATTACCTTGCTCTATAAAGCAAAGGGAGACACCAAAATGATTCTCCTGATGGCTTGCAGCTTTGCCTGTGAGCAGGCTTGGCCTTTGAACTGCAATCCGAGCAGTCCTCAGAGTTCTCCAGTTTAGATAAGAGAAGCTTATACTGCTTCTGACCTTTCCACAGGCTCTTTGCAGCTTGGAGCCATCATTAATGGCTCAGACTTTTGCTTCAGAATCTGTGCACCACACAGAAATCTCGAAGGGAGCTGAATGAGATGTTACTTTATTCTGAGCTTTGCTCGGCTGAAGTAATTCCCACAATTACAGTGATAGCTTATTATTATGTTGCAATAAAAAGCTCTTATTGTCCGAGTGTCAGGAGGCAGCCGCAATCACCCTACTTCCTAAAGTTTGCATCTTAGCCCCATTAATGTACTTGCCAAGATTTCTTCTTCAACCCTTATAAAATTTCCACATTCTTACTGTTACTCCTTGGTAGCCAATACAGAGGACACCCCGTTAGCTTTAGTTTCACAGTTGCAAGCTGCTGAGGGGAGCAGTCCCCTTATTATACTGCATTTGAGAGGTTTTGACACAGCATGGGGTGACTTCTCATTCAGCTCATTAGCTTAATTGAGAGACCAAGCAACTGTGTGATTTCACCACAGCATCTGTGATTTGAAAAGTTTGTCCCCCAGAGAATGTGAATGTTGCTCTTTCCCCTCAAACTTCTATCAGAGAGAAGAATCAGAACACTGGAGAAATGTCATTAGGCCACAGCTAATGTTACAGCAATTTTTTCAAAAAAGTGCATGATCACGGGCCTGAGAAGCTTCTCTTTTCCCCTGTGGCCTGTTTGTATCAGTTTGAGGCAGCACAGGCTCTTCCGTGCACCATTGTGTGATAAATGTTTCTAGCAGGGTAGTAGTTGCCCAGGGGAAAATGGACGTGTAAATATTGCAGTTTTGGTGAGGGCATCAATCGAAATGTGTTTTTAGCTAGTGTCCTGCTGCCAGATTCCACGGCCTGCCTAGCAAAGCAGCTCTGTGTTCTTTTGTAACACACTGAAATGCTCTTGGAGGTGATATATTTGACTATGTGAGCAGCATGCATATCTGGAGAATATAGCCTTTCAGCCCTGACTGGCCGTCTCCCTATGATGATGGAAAGCAAGGACAGATTTAGAGGCAGAATGGAAGTCTTACAGAGCAAGGTTTTCTGGGCTGCTTCACTTTCGGAAAGATGGGGGAAGATTGATACTATTCAATTCCAAATGCCAAACCTAATGCAGGAGCCTCAGTTCCCAAAGGAGTCAATGGCATCACCAGAAGGTATTCCCGCAAACAACCTTTTAGAAACACCAGCAGGTCCACATGGAGATGCTAAAAACTAGGTAGTGCAGCTACCCACTCTGGGTGACTTTGAAGAAGTGTCTTTCACTGCTACTCACCTAAACTGACTTCAGAAGTCTCTGACAATTCTGCAAGTCAAAACTGGATGCAGAGGATCTTCACAGTCAGAAAAGAGAAATGGTGAGTTCCCTGCAGTATCCCAGGCCTCCTGTGTTAGGACAGAGGTGCCTGCCTTTCTCCACTGGCTGTGGACTGACCCAGACAATTGGATTAGTTTAAAACGTTGAGGTTGATTTGTTATATGGATTTCATGCTTAGCTTTTATTGTGCTTCTCCCTGATGACATCTTTGGAATTGCAATGTGCTCAGAGGCTCTCAAAGAACAGGACAAATGATATGTAATCAGATAGTCCCCTCTCTGACAGGATTTTGAAGCCTTAGTCCAATATTCTTTGTGCTTTGAGGGGGAAAACCAAGACAAAACAATATCTTAAATTGTATGTCTCTTCGTGGAAACCGTAAATGGAGGTAATTTCTGTTAACACCAGTGTGTCGTGCGGTGACCTTCATGGCAGTTTCCATTGAAATATATGTAAGATATAAGTACACAGAGCTCGTGTTGCATCTGGATTAATCCTCACATGGTTGCAATGACTCAGGGCTGATTTCCAATGTCAGGGGCAGGCAGCAATTCAATTGTATTTTAAGTTTAGTCTACAAAAAGTGTAGATTGGGGAATTTTTAAAGCTTTGATTCCCAGCAGGAATCAGATGTGGAGGTGCCTGTTGTGCCAAAGCAGATCATGAGAAGGTGACCGTGTCTTCCTAGGGATCACACTGCCTCTTGTAGGATGTTGCATTTTCTTCCATCTGAAGACATTAAAGGAGTCCTATGTATTTATTTTGTTAAAACTGCAATACTGTAAGCCACAAGAGGAGAGGAGATCTGTTGAATACAGGGGTGGGTATCCTTCCCAGAAGCCAGGGCAGGATTGAGCCTCAGTCATGGGAATTCCCATTTGGATTATAATATTTTTCAGTTGTGTTCATTGCTGGAAGTGGACTGTACAGAAAAACGCCACCACAAGGGAACGTCTTACTTGAAGTGTGCAAATGCATCGGCGTAAGTGTGTGCCATTCTCTCTTTTTCATGTGTGACTCTGAGGTTGCAGGTCAGAAAGTGCAAAGGGAAAGGGGAGGTGACATTTGGAGTTCTGTATGCTGCTCCTGGATATCTTCCTGATGAGCTGTAAGGAATAAGAAAGCACATTTATGTCCTAGTTTGTTCTTTCAACATTTCAATTGTTTTTCCTTAGCTCTGTGAACTGTTCAGTTGATGTCAGTAGAACTACTAGTGGCAGATGCTGGTAGAGACTGAACTGAAAGGAAAATTCAGAAACTTACGGAGTATCAGATATATGACTCAATTATTTTCAGCTGAATAGTTTTACTGAGGTTTATCAGTTCAGCAGACAGTAATAGTACACATTCATATGATGCACATTGAGCATGTTCTTGTAAACGCAAGAAACACCTGCTGAAGTTGCATTATAGCCTTATCAATTATTTTTCATAATTTGTGAGCTGAATATAGTATATTAAAAACCACTCTCTTATTATTAGGTGGGTAACGATGTTTGTTTTTCAGGAAGCTGTTGCTAACAGCAGATGTTTCCTTTTTACCTGAGTTGAAATTACCTAGGACAGATTTACCTTGGGGAAACAAGCTGGATCTTAAAGATAGGATTTCTAAGTGAAGTCTGCCACTCTTTTGCCAGAGTGGCTGTGTTCAGTGACTGGAGCACACAGCATGAACAAACAAGTTACAAATTCAGTGTCACTGATTTCTCCTCCAGTGAGAAACCAACTTGAAAGCTGGTCTAGGAGTGAATGAGGCATGGGCTGCACCAGAAAGATCTATAGAACAAGAAGGGAGTGAGAGTTCTGGTTTTGACTGTTACTTTGAATAACGAGGCATTTCCTCCCCAGCACAGTGATCAATTTGACAGGTGCTTTTTGGAAGAGAACTGAAGAAATTAGGTTTAAAGCTTTATCATATAGCAGGTTTTAAAGCAAGCATGAAACACTCTTTGGGAGCTAGTGTCAGATTTGTCTCCAAAAGACAAACCCATGAGGTAGTTCATTCCCACATTATACCTTTCATAAACGGATGTCACAGAAACTTCCCTGCAGAGAATTGGTCATAAAGCATCCAAACTGAGAATTTGGAAGTGTCCAGCAAACCCCTGCAATTTTCTGGCACTACATACATTTGGAGATGGGGAGGGCAGCCTTGAGTTGAGAATGTGACAAGGGCAGATATGCCACAAGGGAGTTACCTGTTTTTCTCCCTAGTTTGCTCTTAAAAACCGGCTGAAAAACCGCTCCCGTCAGATTCCAAAGAGAGATCACTGGCTGGACTGGGCATCAGAAAAATACTCGGTAAGCAATGCTCTACCTGGCAGATTTGGAGGGGGAAGGTGGAGACTGGCAGATAGACAGGGGAGAGAGTAAGACTGGCCTGGCTACACCACTCCTCACATGCACCGGGCTCTCATTTGTCCTGTCCCTTCCCACATCTGTACTTTCCTGACCCTTAATGGACAGTTTATGTGCTGCACTGAAATGCAGAGATGCAAATATATCCAATATCACAAATAAGTGCAATGAGTAACTGCCATGCAGAAAGAAATAGGAGCTCTCATGCTTTGTGGCTTGAATTACTTGTTGGCTTTTCACCCCTATCTTACCTTTTTGCTCATTCCCTTTACAGAAACAGCTGATTGGGGAGGTTAAAATGGTGACACGTGTTCTCTTCCTCTTCATACCACTGCCGATGTTCTGGGCCCTGTTTGATCAGCAGGTACAGTACAGTGTGTTGCAGGTCTGCCTGCCAGCCTGGGTTTGCACCCTCATCCTTCCAGGGTAACACCAAAGCGTCCTGGGGGCACAGAGTGCCGTGCTCCTACTAGGTGTCCAAAGGCTTGCTAAGACAGTACTCACCGTCACTACTGGCCATCCCTTCACAGTCCTGCCAGGTGTCTGGCACAGGAGGGTGAGAAAGAAGAAAGTGCCCTGCCTACTGGCAGGTGTTACAGGGAAGGGAAGGAATAGATGGGAAATAAGACCTCCAGCACTGTTGTCTTCTCTGTCCTCATGTTTTCTAGTCCCATAGGACATCTCAAAGGCTTCACAGCTGTCTGTTTTCTCCTTAGGGATCCAGGTGGACTTTGCAGGCCACAAAAATGAATGCTGATTTTGTAAGTACTTAATGTCACCAGGGCTGGTAAGACTAGTAGTAACATCACTGCTCTTGCTTTTTAACTGGAGTATCACAGTACTAAGAACATCTGCTTGATGAGTCTGGGTGAGTTGCACTTTTAGTGATTAGAGCCAGAGGTTCTGTGCAGCCATGTTCAATTCATCACAGCACGCCTTGGCAAAGAGCGAGAACTGGGGAACCATCAGCAGCCTGCAAGGTCAGGAGTGCTGACCTACTGGCAACCAGTCGCTCTGTGACCTTGAGCAGGTAGGGTTTCCAGCCTGCTACCCCCAGTAAAGACAGAGAAGTCAGGGAAAGTTCACACAGCCCTTGTAAGGTGTAACTAGAGCTCTTATAGTTGTATGTTTCTGCTCTGGCTTACTTGGTGATACATTAATGAAGCCTCTCAAAACCAGCAGGAAGCTTGTGTATAGGGTAGAAATGTGATGAGGATTAATTAGTTAGCAGCCATAAAGTTCTTCAAAGATGTGAATGGCAAATTGTACAGGGTGCAGTGGCAGATAAATGTGGATCAGCTATCTACCTAAAGATGCCACCATATAGGGCTGGTTTCCAGACATGTGTCTTTTAACAGACCATCTAGATCTTACCTGTGGATGCTCACATTAGAATTTAGAATTGTAAATGCCCATTTTCCAGTTTAAAATTGAATTAAAGACGAAGATTTGAACTATTCCATGTCACCCCTGTTAAAAACTGGGCTCTCAGCGTGTGATACTCATTAGACTTAATTAATTCAAATGAGGCATGAAAAAGACTGCACCTTGGGTTTATCCACCTCAGAAAGACAAAACAATGAAAGTTCATGCAGTCTTTGTAATGTGTATCTAAAAACTGTTTTCTGCTGTTTTGCTCACATGCACTTAGTGATCCATTAGCAGAACATCTAAGAATCACCAGGCGTCACTTATTAAACTTTCCCTGGTGGAGAAGGACGTATTCAGAGCTTTTTTGTCACACCAACTTGGATAGATTTTTGGCTTGTGTTTCAGTCTCAGTCCCTCTCCACTGGTGAGTTGACCCAACTCAGGAAGGTGAGAATTAACTGCAACATTGGGGTGATCCCATCATTAGGCTTGTTAGAGTTCATGTTTGTAAAATTGTGGTTTTTTCCCTTCTGCAGACAAAGAGCTCAGCTAGGAAGTCTGGAGTTAAACAGGGAATGATTTAGCATGAGATGAAATATTTGAATGACATGTATAGTGTGCATAAAGTAGCAGGAGGGGATATTTGCCTGATATTTTCAGTTGTAAGACTCCTTTGCTGTGACCAGTGGTTTCCACTCTCCCAGGAGGCAGCTACGGCAGCCGTTCCAGATTCAGCTCAGGACAAGCCTGGCAGACAGGAGACAAACCCCTACAGCGCTTTCTTGGAAAGATATTATGATTTCTTCCTAATTTTTTTCCCCTTCTTCATCTTAATTTCAAACAAAAAGCCTTGCGTGGAGTTCAGACACCAGCCCCTCCCTGGAGACAGCTCATCGATCCGTTTTGGAGACTGGGATCCCTCCGTCCATCCCTGTTGACCTTGCCTAATTGTGGGGGCTGGGTATAGTGATGCAAGGGTGAGACACTCCTTACAGCCTTGAGGACTCTTGGCTCAAACCGAGAAGTCACAGTTGAACAGGTGACCAAAGCCTATTGGGTGGAATAGAGGGAAGAAAGAGGTGTTTGTGCAGCCCACTGGCTCAGGGACAGTCTTTTGTTATCCTTTTGGGGTGCTTGGGAGAAATGCCAACAGAACTCAGAGGCTCCTGAAGCTTGAGAGCACTCACTTGCAGGATTTGGCTTTTCCCATTACAGAAGCAAGGAGGGAGGAAGTTCTAAGTCCAAATCCCAGCTGGGATGCTAACATGGCCGTTCCTCCCCACTCACTTAGTTCCTGGCTCAGGCAGTCTGAAAGATGGGTCTCAGTACCTGTCATAGACTGTGTCCCAGCTGCAATATATCAAGGTCTGAGTGTTGCTTCTTCTGCAAAATGATTGTCTTAAAAAATGTCCTTAGATGACCACTGTCAAGGGCATTATGTCAGCTGCTAAAGCCAACACAAAGCATTTGAGGAAACCACCTTTGCTGCTAAAGCCTCGCCTGGACTGGTTGCTTGTGTGCCATGTGCACTGTTATGTTATGGTATTTATGAATCACTTGGAATATCTTTTCGTTTCAGGGAGTGTATGTCCTTCAGCCTGACCAAATGCAGGTAAAATATACTGTAGGGTAGGAAATAACCCTTAGAAATATATTTTCTTTTTCTCTCTCATTTTCTCATGGGACCAGTGGCCTTTCTCTGCTTCTTTCAAAGGTAATAGCAGTGCTCCTGCTGACTGCTGTGGTGTGGTCTTCCTTATTGCTCACTAGCTGTTTTGAAAGCTTAGTCTTGGGGTTCAGAAAACCCCAAGGATATCCTAACATGCTTGAATCCTTGAATCCTGCAGAACAGTGCAGAGGTGTGGAGAAACATGCTCATACCATAATAGTTCTTGAACTAGTGCTGGCATATGGAGAATTCAAGCTGTGTCTCCTAACATGTCCCTGCTCTGGGATGAGCATTGTACATGAAATATGTTTCCTTCCTCCTTTTCCTGCAGGACAGATGAAAATGTGAAGGCTCCAAGACAGTGCTGTGTTGTCACAGTTGGTTACGATTCTTACGCTGAACAGCTCTAAAGAAATTCAAAGCTGTTCTGATCCCTGAAATCTTCCTTCGAAACTGAAACAGCATCTCTCTACCTGTTCTCCATCACTCTCTATTTTCTTGCTCTACCATTGCTGGCTGGCAGAAAAACTCTGCCCTCCCAGGAGAAACATCGTTCCTGGGGGATTACCAAGCTGTGTGCAAGTGTGAGAAATTCCCAGTCTCACAGAACACTGCCTGTTCCTCTGGGATTTTGCTGAAGTCCCAAGATGTTTCTATTATTGCTGATTTGTTGTAAGGTTCCACCACAGCACCAAAGGTCGTCTGCTCCTATTGTCAGTGGGTTTTTTACTTTTTAAAAACATAATGCTTTAATTCTCTCTTTGGGGAAATTGGGCCAGTGAGGCTTGCTTACCTCTTGGAGGGGAGGATATGAACAAAACGTATTCGTGCCTGTGAAAACTAAATCTGTCGGAGTGCAAACTACGATTATATTTTAAAAGGAGGTTTTTAAGTGTTTGTTCATGTCCTTTCTGTAATGGAATTATTTCTGGAGGACAGTGCTTTATGAGTTTAATTACTGAAAGTTGCTTTCTAGTCACTAAACTCCCATTCTTTTGTATTGCAGTTCTTAAATCCACTTCTTATTCTTGTCTTCATCCCAGTTTTTGACCTTGGGCTCTACCCCCTGATAAACATGTGCAAATTTAATTTCACGTAAGTACTTGGAGACAATGGAGATGCCTCAGTTCTTATTCTTTTGCAGCAAGTGTGCAGAATAGCTTTTAAGGAGAAGAAACACAAATTTCCACTCAGCCTTCCCAGTACTTGCCTCTACTTCAGCCCCAATAGGCAGCATCACCCTTCTCCATAGGCCCTGGAAATTCTAGAGGGGAAAATTCAGTGATGTTGGATTCTGCTCTGTACAGATTTTCCCTGAAAGCAGATACGAACTGCTCTTGAATTCCTCTTTGAATTTGATCAACTTGTTCTTCATCTTGTCTCTTGTATCACACCTAAATGTTTCTTTCTCTGAAAGGTCCCTGTGGGGCCAAATTCACTGTCCCATGTGGGCTACATGTGGTGTTGTGAAAGCAGTTTCCACACTAGAATCTGAACCAATGAGTAGGGGAATTTCCATATGGCCCAAGAATTTTCTTTCAAGTGTATATTAGCAAGACGTGCAGTGTAATAGGAGTGGATCTCCAGGTTGATTCTGAGACCCACTTTATGGATTTTGGGGGATTTTACTTTGGAGTATCTGTAGCCTGCCCCTGTGGATTGATGCCCTTTAGCAGTGGGAGTATGTTATGTGCACTCATGGAGGGCCTTTGTCAGTGCAATTTCAGCTGAAAGGAACCAAGTTTCCGTACTCCAGCACCACTTAACATGAACCACAGCATGGGAAGGGGTGGTGAGTGGGAGATTAGCTTAAAAAGCATGTTTCTGATCCAAACTAAAATGCTGGATAGAAAAAAAACACATAAAATGGAGACGGAAGGATCCTCAGAAGCTTACCCCTTCACCTTGCTGATCCTCTCCAATCATGCTGAATTACCTGCACCTAAAGACATATAAAAGACATTGTCCAGCCCTGCAGTGATGCCCTTTGGAGAACATCCTTTAGAAGCTGTGCTTCCCCATGCTACCTCAGTGTAAGCCCATGCCCTGATCTGAGCCCCAACTCGACAGAAGACTTCCTGCCTGATGACCAGTTCACAGACTAGTTCACCTGGCGGCTCAAACTCATGCACGGATCAGGACTGAATGACATGCTGTTGTCCCCCGGATGTCGGATACTAACAGGCTCCTGTCCAGGGTAGCTGTGGAAGTGGCCGTGGAAACACTGTAGCCTGCAAAGAGTTAACCTGTGTGGTTGCAAAAGTGTGTGCTACAAAATCCCAATGCAGCATTGAAGGTCAAAACCAATTTTTTATTACAAGATGCAAGCATTAAATGTTTTCTTATCCTGAGGCATGTAACTGAGAGATAGAATTTGGGTTCCTAATCTGTATTTCCCACAGCCCAGTGTATCTGGAATGTGAATCCAGACCATTACAAAGAGTGGAGACCTCTGAATCTAGAACCAGATTTATTTCAAATCTCAACAACTCAGTACTTGGTTTGGACCTATTTTATTCTGCTTTATATCAAGAGTGTCTCATGTAACTCTGGTAGAGTTGCACTAGTTTTGCTCCGAGTTCAGAAGCCAGCTTTTTATTCTCTAGAAATGTAAATGTGTTGGCATGAGAAATAACCCAGAATGATGCCACAGATGGTCCGAAACACTGATGACACAAACTATACATTTTTCTTCTCCTCATTTCTGCTGCTAAATAGCGTGCTACTTTTCTTTTGCCTTTCCCAAAAGGGACTTGAAAATATATCATTTCTAGTGCTCCTTCCAACATCACAGGTTAACATAATGCCATGAGCTATTCCCACTAGAAGAGCTAGGAACAAGATAATATGAAACTTGCAAGCAAAGTGGGTTTTTTCATGGCGTATCTGTTTTAATTGGCCTCAGTGCTGGCCTCGTACAGAATAATAGAATAGTTTTAAGTTAAATGATTGGCAATTTAAACAGCACATCATCCCCAGTGCCACCTGTTGGGCAGTTTATTATGTGATTTTGGCACATCTTTGGCTCCAAGGAATGGGATTCTATGTTTTAGATTACTTTTTTTTTCTTAATGGTACCTCTTTCATTTGTTCCATAGACCTATTAGGAAAATGGCAACAGGTATGATCCTTGCAGCCATGGCATTTGGACTTGCAGCCATTGTAGAAGTCAAAATAAATGTAAGTATAGGACAAGGGATTCCTCAGAAATACTTTCATTCCTGGAGTTGTTTTTATTGATGCCTGTTAGATAATCCTTTTAACCATTAACCAATTAAGCATACTGAACCAGTGGCTAATGATAATTCTTACTTTGTCTACTTTTCCTTCTCTTTTTTCTCTCTCTCTTTCTCTGTCTTTTTCTATCTTTCTGGTCTTTGCAGTTTTGCTGTGCCGGTCATCTGTATTGGTCTATATTCTAGATTTCCATCGTCAAAGTGCTTGACAGACATCTAGTTAATGCTAGTGATTAATTCCCAAAAGGTAGTCTTTTCTCTCTCCTATTTCTTGCTGTAGCTTGCCTATGTTTTACTGTTTTGGGGAGGAATGGAGGGGTTGTGCGTGTGTATGTGTGATGGTTTTGGGTTTTAAATTTAATTCCTTTCCTACTTTAGGGTATGGATTTGGTTTTTTTACAAGCCAAATTGATTCTCCAGTGAGGCAGGTGAATGCAGTCACTTCTGTAGTCACAGGCATCAGGGAATGCCAGGCATCCTCAGACAAGATGGCAGCAAATCTCTTGTAAATTTGATGTTAGCCCCTGCAGATTTGTACCATTTGTTTCTGGCCCATGATCAGCCTTGTGCAGACTTTGGCTGACCTTTGGCTCATGAAAGTCACTGTAGGATTTATTTTTAAAGCTTCCATGTATACTTAAATGTTCTGTTAGAGTGGTTGGCACACAGCCCTGGATTAACATCTGCTGGTTCCTCACGTGAATCCACTGACAAGTCTCATGCTGAAATGAGACTTTATGGGTTCAGGTCTTCTTTCTGATCTCTTTACCTGAGCAAAGAAGTGCTCTCATCGCCACCACCAGCAGCTTTGGCCGAGCAAGGAAAGTCTGCTCTGGCTGTGGGTGACTTCTCTGAGCAGAGGCAAGGTGAGTTAGATGTTCCCCCCTGCCAAAGCATGGAAATTTTATCCTGAAGGCCACTAAAAGCTCTAGCAAAAAAGGGGATAGAGTGGCCCACCTTGGCTTGGCTGTGGGTAGTACAGGTGAAAAGCCACAGTAGTGGGATTTGCTGGATACCATTAAAAGGCCTGTTGGTCTAGAGCAGCATATGGGTACAGGGAAATCAGTGTCTCCCTATCTTCTCTGACAGTGTGTCTCCCCACAGAGTAAGATTCAAACTACCCTGCCTGCAATACCCAAATTATAGGATGAGATAGGAGAAAAATTATTAGCTCTGAAGTGTTCCTGGCAGCTACTTGAAAATCAAGCTGAAAAAGAGAGAAGTTTAAAAAAAAAATTCATTTTAGATCTGCAGGTAGTACAAGGCTTATGCTGATTGAAGTACTCTTTCTAGGAGATGATTCCTGACAGAAAAAGATACCTCTGTGCTGGAGGCATTGTCCTGCCTTTCTCAGAAGACAGAGAATAAGATCTTTACAGTCGACTGTTAGATAGCATGGTGTCAAGTGATGCAAAAGCACTGATTACAGACATGTAGCTGGGCTGGGATTTTCAAAACTGCTTAGCTTCTGGCCTCATTCTTTTCTCAGTCACCAACTGCAGTGGGAAATAATTATTCTGGTCACTGGTTTTGAAAGCTAAGCACAATTTTTTCTGTTCTGATATGGCACTTGGTTAAATCTAGACAGAAGGGAGCTGTATAATAAAAGCAGTGACTTTGTTCTACCTGCCCGGCAGTTGTGTCGCCTGTACACTTAGTGGTGTGAAGTACAGTTTTGGGGAGGAATGATAGGTTGGCTATTGAGCTACTATGAGGAAACCTCCCTAAATAAGATTTATGTTCAGTTTTCTCTCAGTGCAACTTCTGATGAGGAAGGGATGGAAAAGTGTCATTACAGAGAGGAAGACTATTATGGCTAAAAAGGAAGAGATATTAAAGTGCTAATAAAGCATACAGATGGCACTTAAAGCCTTTTACTTTAATTAGGAAACTGATATGCCTCGACTTGTCCCAGGAGAAAGTTTAATTCGGGTCCTGAATTTGGCAAAGAACCCTGTTCAAGTGACAGTCCAAGACCAAGACCTATTTCAGCAGCCTGTGGATGCTTTTCAGGTAAGCATATGTGTGGGGCTGGAAGGCCTGACTTGCATCCCATTGAAGAAAAGGTGGGCTTTTTTTCAGACATTTTCTAATATAGTCCACAGATGCTAGAGCTTGTTCTCCACCGCCTTAGAAGTGCATTGGAATAGCTTTGAAAACGGAGCAGGTTATCTCCGTTGATGAGACAGAAATGGAAAGTTTGGAGACATATTTCTATGGCAAAGGAGGAAATGGCTAACTAAATTCACTTGTAATTAGGAATAGTGAATAATTGTCCTGAGATGGGCATGCAGAGACATTCAGCTCACATCTCTCAGTGCTCAGACCAGGCATTGCTGCTGGGATCTGGATGGCATCTGAAAAGTATTTACCTGCAAAAGAGGAAAGAAATAGGAAGGCAGGTAACTGGGTGTGGGCTCTGGGTTGTTTCCTATTTCAGCTTCCAGATTACTTTACAGGTCAGGCTAGTTTGGGACTCAGCCCAGCAGTCCATTGGCAAGCAGCTGCCTGCCATGTTTTAGATGTGTTCCCACCGGGGCAGAGCAGGGCCACGAGAAAGGGTAGCTGTGTTGGCAGAAGCTGTTCTCTGACCCTTGAGTTGCATCCGGCAAGGGAAGGTACTCCAAGCTCTGGCTTGACCAGCCCAAAGCCTATAGGTCAACAAAGGTCCTTTGCTGTAGAAGACAGCTCTGACTGTCACCCTCTCTTTAGAAGATCCCTTGAAGAGAGGATAGAGTTGCACTTGGTGGGGAGAGCCAGATCCTTTCTCATCTGAAGAACATGTAACCAAGTTTGTTTTTTCCGCAGAACCCAGCTGAGTACTCAAAATTAATATTGAATGGAGAGCAACAGAGCCTTCGCTTCACCCTGCAACGTCAAGGATTGTCTCTTGCTTTTAACTACACCGTGAAGGAAAAATCAGTATACAGCTTAATTGTTTTTGAGGCAGAAGGAAGCCTATCAAGCCGCTTAGTGAGTGTGGGAGTGAAGTGTAAATACAGTATTAATTCAATGGCCGTGATGATACAATGGGGTAATAGACTCATTAATTCATTTGCTCAGTTGCAGTGTCTGTCTGATTGCTCTCAGATGCTCTAAACCCGACTTCCTAGCTCGCGGCACTGGGTCTGTACGCGTTTCTGCCGCTTGATTAATAGAGGCGTTATGGCATCTGAGAGATCCTGGGCACACTTTAATCCAGTGAATGCTGCAGTGGGAGAGCGGAGTCATGCCTGCTAGGCAGCAGAGCTTGAGAAAGCTGAGGAAACAGAGCGCCAGAGATTTTCCCCCAAAGATAGTTCTATAAAGGAAAGATGTTAAAGAGGCTCTAGGGCTGGGCATGGAATAAAAGCATCAGAGGAATGATTCGGGGTTTAGTTATTGCAAGCGTTTAGTGAAAATACACAGAAGGCCCATTTGTTTTGCTGAACAGAATAAATGATTGAGCTCATTTCAGGCTCTGCAGCAGAGCTGGCTGCGTTTGGACTTTTGTGTATTGCTGCAACAATCAGAGAGAGGCATATGGGATGTATAGGGCCGGATTCTGATATCTTTTATGTGTAGCTGTATCCTAAGAAGCTCTCTAGAAATGAATGGTGTTATTGCTGATTGTGGCAGGTGTCTAAATGCCATCAGAATCTGTCCTCATGCTAAAATATCAATTCTCTTTGCAGTTCCTCAGCTTCCTACCTTGCAGGGTTGCCACAGCAAGCATTCAATATTGTATAGTAGAAATCACATAACTATTTTTAAAAATGAGGAGTTTTAAGACTTTTTTTTTTCCTAACATTGAGATTTTTTGCTGCTTTATGGTTTAGAGCCTGAGGCTTATTATCACACAATGTTGTTAAGTTTACATGTGACCCTGATGACTGTGTGCTGTTACATTAAGAAACAGATACTCATACAGTGATTTTCATACAGTCCTTAAGAAGTGAAAGCTTGTGACAGGCTGGAGCAAAGCAATCTCTGAGCATCAGTACATCTCTGTGCTGCCCTAGCTATCTAGCCTGTGCTTAAATGAATGCCCACACTAGCACGGGCAGGCTCCCGTGGGGGAGCCTGCTGGGGAACAGCCGTGCTGTTGGGTGATGCTATTGACCTGTCATTCTCAGCTGTAGATAAGGGACATGTGGAAGACAGTGTGGTAAATGATACTCACTTTTCCAGCATTGCAACACAAGGAAGGTAATGCCAGCGTCACTGCTGTGATGTGGGGCTTGCCCTGGAGTAGCCATGGTCCATGCCAACCTCCCTCACTGCTGGGTTTGGCCCTCTCACTCAGGTGAGGGTGTTTTGGAAGGAGCTGATCTGAAATTGATTTCTTCTCCTTTGTGGGCTGTTGAGTGGGCAGGAAATGAATTTAAGAGCTCTGGGGATCATCAGTGAAAGTGAGTAATAATTTGGCTGGCCTGTCTGCAGTGAACTAGAGTGTTAATCCCTGTGTGTCTCCCGTTGAAAAAAAAATAATTATGTTGTTTATTATTTATTGCTCTGACATTTATTATTCACTGTGGCTATTTATTATTTAGGGCATACATTATTTGTGCATCAGCATATCACACTGAAGTACAATAGACATTTTATATGCATACTGAAATTCTGGATCTTTGGTCCTAGAAGCTCAGGGTTTAACATCAGGAGGAAAGTGTGGAGAAAGGGCTAGAAAATGTTAAGAGAAAGCCAGTTTCTGAAGGTAGATTTGGTCCCTTTTGGCTTACCTGGGTTCCGTCTGTGGGCAACACAAATTGAAATCGCCCTGCCAACTTAAGTGGACATGGCACAGCTGTGGATTTCTACCAGCCAAGAACCTTGCTCTTTATTCTTTTTGTGTGATGTAGAATCTTCTGTCTTTTTTCAGCATTGTACAGCAAATAGGCCCTCCTCGAATTAGTGTAGACCGTGCTAACTATTGAGCTGATGCTCTCTCTGACTGTGTTCTCCAGGAGAGGCACTCCTCAGTGTGCCCAACCAGGTGGCCATTTCAAGGATGTGTCTGCAGAGATTGTGAGCACAAACAAGCTCAATGCATCTTGGTCTCTCCTGCTCTCTGCCTGCACCATACAACAGTTTAATCTCTTTAGTATTGAGGGTCAGAGAAAATATGAGTGATACACGATGGCGGTTTCTGTTGACTTTAGGCTTCTGCGAAGTCTCTTTAGTATGCGAAGAACCAAGGTCTGAAAGTTAGGCAGTTGCAGGGTTTGTAGGAGTAAGGCACTCATGTTTAATTGTGATTAATCATTGGAAGAGGATATTGCGGATAATGCTCTCTTGCTATCTTCAGATACTTTTTTGGAGAGTGTTACATGCCTCAGTAGAAGGGTGGTTGGCTGAAACTCTGTAGCCTTTATTACGCAGGAGATGAGGAAAAAAAGGTGCAATTTCATCTTAAGCCCTTGGTGGAGCTGAAATGTTGCCATTGGCTTCATTGTACCATGACTTCACTTCTGTGGCCTGATGTAAAGCTTATATAAGAATTCAGTCGATTTCCTTGGGCTTTGCAACACACATGTAACTCCACAGACAGTAGTATTTTCTGCTACATGTTGTTTATAAGGCAGCATTAATGAATATGTTTGACTTTTTTTCTTTTTCTCTTTAGATTACAGACTTGGAAGCAAAGCCAGAAAATGGTTTGGCAGCTGTTAGGTAGGAATGGCTTTTTTTGAGTATTTGGAGGTGGTGGGGTGAGGGAAACTGCTTTTGTGTAATGCAAACTGTATGTAACATAACCCAGATGTTCTTAGGTTGGAATCTAGTCCACACTTCTCATGGAAGACTCAGGTGTCAGCTGCAGAGGCTTTACAATGTATCACCTCCCATGCTTGCCATGCAGAGCTGAGCATTATGGCTGCTTACTGCTTAAGATAGTTTGGGCTGAGATGACAACATAAAAGATCTCCTCCCTTGGAAGAGTGGTAAATTCATTTTGCTGTGTTCCACCTCTTTGGGAAAGAAAGGAAAGAAGCAATCTGGAAAGGAGCCCTTGCTATTTGTCCTCTGCGAACTGGCTAATCTGTGACGTTCATCTCTCTCACTCAACCTCATGCACAAATGGCTACTACATTGGATACAGTGACAATTTTACAACCTCATAAACCGTTCAGCTGGGCATTGAGATCTGTTTATCAGCTAGTCTACTTTCTAAATTTGAGCTAGACCATGAACAGTCCTGGGCTGCTCTGCGTCGAACTGCCATCTCACTGTGGTCACAGTTGCCTCCAGCACCACATCACCAGACCAATGCCAGGCTGCTGAGATGCATAAGGAGCAGATTTGCAAAACAAAAAAAAAACAATAAACCCCTGCAATTTAAAAAAAAACAACAAAACAAACATGAAAAACCAACCAACAAAAAAAAAAAAACCTAAAAAAACTTTAGATAGTGTGAAACAATGACCAACTCCCTTGTCTGAAAGCCTGTGTTGACAGTAGCAGGAGAGCAGTATCTCTTCATAGCCCTGTGTTTCTGAAGGCTTCTACTGACTAAGCATCATCTTGGAGACTTAATACCTGCAGTCAGGAATGGTTTATATTTTCCTGTGAACATTTTTGACAGAATCCCAAAACTTTCCCTTCAAAATTTTATGAACAGGTTTCACTAGGAAAAAACTATTTTTCCATGAAAAAGTTACTTTTGTTAAGCATTTGACTGTCTTCAGGGATTTCACCCCCATTTTTAAGAACTGGAAACTAAAATATTTTAAAACATAGTCAGATCAAATGAAAAGTGTTTGGTTTTGCTAACAATTTTTGAGTTGGTAAAATGAAACTGTCTTTTATGCATGAAAAAGCATACAAACACTGGATGAAAAAAACCCAAACCTGAACATTCCTGTGAAAGTTTTGACTTTTATGAAAATATCTCTTTATTTTGCTAGAAACCTCTTTCCCACTGGTAGAAACTCCTTAGAAAGTGTGCCAGCATGGTGTGCACACTCATCAGGACACCCAACTTTATAGTTTCCTAGAGTGGTCTGGGGTGCTGTCCTCTTGAATGGCCACAGAGCAATCTTTGAAGGTCTCTCAGAAGAAATTGCCTGGAAGTCCTAACCCACAAAAAGTGAGAGTCACTTTTCACAGGAGAGAGATTAAAAGGGTAAAATTACACAGCAGGGAAAACTAATCTTATATAGAAAAACTGGGCAATGAATCAGGTGAATATTTTGGTAACTTGCAGGAGAGGCTGTCATAACCTTATGGAATTACAGAATGCTTTGGGAGAGAGAGTGCACTTCTTCTAAAGTGTCTGATAGTATGCTTCTCCTGCTCTGTCTGACAACTCAATGAAATATGCTTTCTTTGCAGATTCATTAATGGTTTGAGCCAAGATGTCAACCTCACCATTGACAGCAAACGGTTCATTGCTGTTCAGAAAAACTACAGTGCTTCTGAGTACTTGCTGCTAGAGAGGGACAAGTAAGTTTCCCTTGCGGTGCTGAAGGTCCTTACTGAGGCCTTTCCTTGGATACAATGAGGCTTTTCTCAGGCAAATAGCAAAACCTTCATTGCTGTTGTCTTGGCATTGGGTTGTGGGGGCAGATGTTTGTAAAACAGAATTATCAGCTCTGCGCAGAGCAGGTGCTCTGGGCCACTGGTGTGTGTGCAGAAGCACCATGCATTTAGTCTGCAAAGCGTTCAAGCCAAAGGACAGCAAATCAGTATCTCTGTGTGCAATATGCAGTTGAATAGATTCAGCCTCCAAACAGCGTCTGTGATAGCCCCCTTCCGCTGACTCTTATTGCTTTGATAAGATAAAACCAGTAGAGACAAAGCTTGGAAACTGCATTCCCATGATATGAGTATAAAGACATCCTGATTTAGGCCATGATCTGAGTTTTTTCAGAGTCAGGTCAGGGCCAAAAAGCTTTTTGAAGAAGTCCAGATACAGCACTTAACTTTCTCTAAGCTTTCATTCACATTATGTGGGGGCCTGGAGGGAAGAGACTGACTGTTCCTGTGCATCTTCTGCATCTGTGCATCCTGTGCATCTGCAGAGTAAGGTGGGACATGGCAAAGTCCTCTCTGCTGCTTGACGCCTACTCTGTTTTGATGTTCTCTCAGGCCCAAGCTCTTAGTGTTAGGGTGCTCTCAGGGAAAGGCTAATTCATATTCCGTGCTACAAAGTGTTGGTATGTGGGCTGGTAACAACAAGTAACATTACATGGCTTTGCAGGCTGGGCTTGCTAGACAGGGGCTCCATATGGCCTTGGTTTGGCAGCATTGGAGTTGGCTCTTGTGGGGTATTTCTGGCATTTGCAATGTTTCAAAACAAGCTTCATGGCTTTTCTCTGCATCAGCTCCATCCAAAATATTTATTGCTGCAATTTAGTAGGATGCAGCAGCCATTGTGGCAATGCTGCTGAGCCTCTGTGCCATCTCACACATCCAAAATCAGAAGAACAAATATGAAGGCTAATTTGCTCTATTGAAGGAAACAAAGTGGCTGATGGGTGCGTATCTCTGATTTCCTGAAGGCTGCTTGAGCCTGGCTAACTTGTCTGGCCTGCAGTTCCTGAAGGAGTGGAGAAAAGTTTGGAAGCAAAATAAACCTGAGGGGAGAAAAAAAAAAATCAGTGTTAGGAAGAAGCAGAAACCATTTACAAATGTTAGCAGTAGCCCAAGTCATTAGGTGAACTCCAGTCAGTGCCTAAGTGTTTCTGGAAAGAAAAGATGGCAAGAACTCTAGTGATCGTCTGACATAAACATGATTGCAGCATTACATCATATATCATCCCTACTCCATTGTAGGGGTCTGTTTAATAGCTCTGCTCTGTGCTCTTTGTCTGTGGGACTAACTGGGAAATACTGTGCTTCATCATTGTATCTAGATATAATAATGGAAAATGCATAACTGAAACAGGAGAATTCACCCTGGAGCTAGGGCTGCTCGACTTTGGCGCATCATACACCATTGTGATAACTAACGTAAGTGTCTCTGTGATGGTAACAAGTTCCTTCTGTTCTAGTCTCTGGCAGTGCTTTTGTTCTTATGTTTGTGACTCTCACTTGTTTTCTCCATCCTGTGAGACCTGGGCCGTAGCCAGCTGAAGGCAGTCCATTACACAAAGGTCAGTAAAAGGTTTTGGCACCTATGTAAGCAAGGTGGATGGGTACTCATTCCACCTTACACGGTGATCTTGTCACATCTCATAGGTTAAACAAGATGATCTTTTCCTTGATGGAAATCCTCCAGGGAAGAACGTGTGATCTGTGATTTGTGCTGGTCTTATGCCATCCTTCTTCAGTTAACATTGACCCAGCACACTGCAAAGAGCTGTTACAGTCTGCCAAGAGCTGACTCTGCTTGTAGTCTTTATAATACTGTACCTGGTGATACCTCACACCCGAAAAACTCTGCAGAAACAGTCTGGTATATCCTCACATTTAACTTGCTGATCTAAAGGATGATCTTCCAAGACTTGTCCTTTCCCTAAGGCTATGGGAGAAGAGGGACAAAGTGTTGAGGGAGGAGGTTGGTGAGATTTTGCGTCTGTTTTTCCTCCTCTCACTGTCTGTACAGCTCATTTGGAGCCTAAATGAAAGTCAAGGTATGATTTTCGGAACAACCTAGTCTTGATGGGGCATGAGCACTGCTGAGAGGGTGGATTCGTTTTCCTGCCTGCCAGCCTCTTAGGCGCACTGCTCCAACCCTGGTCCAGCTGGCAGGAGCCACAGAGATGAACGTGTTCAGCTTAGTTCCCATTTTAAACTTCCCACTGCACAGGCACACAGACAAACCAGGGCTGACAGGACACACTGCTAAGCTGCCCTCTGGGACTTTGACTACTATGTTGTGATGAGCAGAGCAAAATGCTGTCAGCTACTCCCTGGCAGTAACATCTCCCTGTTGGGCAATTAATGGGAGCCGTTCACATCTGCAGAGTCCAAATACGTAGAGGAAAAATATAGCTGCAAAGCACCTGGCATTTTTTTTTTTAACTCTGGTAGCTGGAGTGGGATGCACAGTCCTGGAGGGAACAGGCAGATGCTGCCATCTGTGAGTGCAGAGATTTATGTACATAAAACACATACATATTGGAAGTGATGTTGGCCAAGCCCTTCCTGAATGGCTGCAAACGTCTTTCCCCAGATGAGGAACTGAATAGAGAAGTTGCACTAAGAGTCTTGTCCCAGAGCCTCTGGTAACACAACTGAGTCAGAGATAGTTGAGGTAGATGTGTCCCATGTCACTGAGGGCAAGGATTCCCGTTTGTGGTCCCATCTACGAAAGTCCCTGCTGTAGCCATGGCTGCTCAGGGGTGGCTCTGTGCCTCAGCCCTTCTGCACCCTGTGCTAGGCATTTAATCTTTTTGACCCTCTGTTTTTCCATCTCTCTCCATGTGGTTTCCTCCTACTATAGAGAGTTTGCTCCAGGCCAAGATGATTTTTAATTATTGCAGTGATTTGTACTGAGCCCTGCTCCTCTGCCAGGAGTGCTATATAGAAGAACCAAGAATCCAATATATTAGTCTGCTAATGTGGCTGTACTGTGATACTTAAATCATGGGGATGCTGCCTTCTGCCCAGCCTTCCTCGGTGTGCAGTTACAGCATGGTGCTGTGACATTTCTTTATGGGCTAAAGAGCAATGCACAGCTCTCCTTTCACCCCTTTTAGCCTGCTAAAATACAGTCTTTTGATTTGCCTCCCTACATGGTGATTAAGTACGTCTCATAAACATCCCTTGTATTTTCCCAAGTACTCTTCTTAAGCACGGGATTTTCTGTCTGAAGTCATTTCAGCCTAGTGTTTTCCTGGCTACTGGTCAAATCTCTCTGCCTCTGGGCATCAGAGGCAGTATTAATTACACCTGGGGAAGAAAACAAAAAGAATTAGGAATACAGCTACCAGGACTATCTGAATATACCTGATACGAGGCAGTCTCTACTACACTTGGTACTCCTGAACTGGACTCATTTGGATGTCACTGTTACTGTAGGGGAGTTGTACAGTGCTAATGAAATGGGAGCAGTGACCACATGGATGCAATGAGCATTTATCCTCTTCTTTTCTGTCTTTGTGGACAGCAGCAAGTCACAGGCTCTGCACAAATACCACACAGGCTTCTCCCAACCCCGCTAAGAAGACAACTTGTTCTTTTGCAGTAACTTATGCAAATCTTGTAGCACATGAATGAGCTAGGATGCTTCCACCCTGTCACCTCTGCCCTGTGCAGTAGGAGTCAACCTGTTCTCAAAAGGCTTGGAAATGGCAGGGTCAGACCCAGAGGTTTGCTTCCAGGGTGGAGCTTTGCTTCCACCTTTACTTAAAAAGTCATTTTGTTAAACTTGGTGTTGGAGTCCAGGCTAAGAAGGACCTGATCTTTGAGCAGCTAATCAATGTACCTTTGTTTTCAAGCTAGGTTTCTGGAGGCGCTGTTAAGACATGGAAGTCTGAAGACATCAAAGCCAACAATGTCCATATGGCTTGGCAGTTACCACAGTACTTATTAATATCTGCTGGGGAGGTGATGTTCTCCATTACGGGTCTGGCCTTCTCCTATTCTCAGGTACTTCACTTAAAGATAAGGGGCTTACAATTAGGCTTCAGGATTTATTCCTGCATCTGCCATTGACTTGTAATACGTCCTTTGGCATGACGCTTACTGGCAATGTTATCTGTGCTTCAGCTAAAAGTGGGATTATAACACCACTTGCTGAGTGCCCTCAACGTAAATTAATTCATACTCTGAAGATACCTGTTCTCAATTATGCTCAGAAAACTCCTTTTCTGGTAAAGCTGAGAACATAGAACAGAACTGGATAGAAGTGTGTTTTAATATGAAAGCTCTGAATGCTGTAACACCAGATTTTTCTCCCAGTGAAATATATTGCAGTATATATTTTCCAGCGATAAAAAGGCTGGAAGGACTTAGAATCTTAAGGACTACAGAATGCCATGGGGGCTTGGAACCTGCTTCAAGAGGAGAGATTGAAATGGGTCTAAGCCTATCTGAGTCTGTAACAAGGGAGCAAGGGGTAATGATTGTGCAAGAGATTATTTGATTGTGGTATACTTTCTGGGGAGAAGGTTTATCGGGAGAGCACTGAGACATTAAAAAAATCAAAAAGCTGAAGCTACTCAACTTTATCCTTGGATTAAAGTGCAGATGCTTATTAATGAGGGCAATTAATATAGTGGGACGATCTGTCATGGGATGTGGAAAATTCTCAGCAGGAAGCTTAACATCAAGATCCAGTCTCTTTTCATGGGGTACAGCCACATGGCACCAGACCCCAAGCTGCAGGGCTTGTTGCGTGGCTCCCTGGGCTTCCTGATCTTACAATTTCAGATGGTGCAGGTTGAGGATGATCAGGATTCAGCTCTGCAGCCACAGCATCTCCTTCTTCTTCATGTGTCTTCCTGGAGGACATATTTCAAAAGCTCCTTGTGTGCAGCTGTTTAGATTAACTACAGAGATTAACCAATCTGCACAGAGGAAATTCTACCATCTCCTCCTAGGCTGAGCCTGGGAACACCTACACTGGACAGGACATCATGAGGGTGAACCAGGGCAGAAGGGCACAGTGTGATACCCACTGATTGGACCCTTCTCCTCTTTTCAGTCTCCAGCCAGCATGAAGTCGGTGCTGCAGGCAGGCTGGCTGCTCACCGTGGCTGTTGGGAATACACTTGTGCTCGTTGTTGCCCAGGCTGCACCAATGGCACAGGTATGGTTTGGCTCTTAAAATAGAGATAATGCTTTAAAACAGGCCCTAGATGGTGCTTCTGGATGTCTGCGGCCCGGAGCGCAGCTTCTCTGCACAGCCCCAGGCTGGTGCAGTGGAGTGATGGCAGCCAGCACCAAGCTGGCTCCAGCCAGGGGTCTGCTTTGCCCTCAGCAGTGATGCCCTCTGGAGCAATGGCTTTCCCTAAGCCTCCCAGTGGCAGTAAATACTACTGTGACCTGCACTGCGATAACGTTGCTGGCGCTCAGTTCTAGGCAAGCAGGCTGTGTTTGGGCCTGGAGCCTGGACACGATGCCAGCCACGCGTTGCAGTTACTTACGAAAAGCAGCTTGCCTTCATCTAGCTAGCTCAGTGGGCAGGCAGCCCCCTCACGTGTCTAGCTTGGGACTCCTTCGGAGCCATCTACCTGTGGCACCCCTGAGACGTTGGGCCTGAGTGGGGAGGTTGTGGTGTGGAGCTTGTTTAATTCAGGTTATCAGACTTCTGGGATGGTGGCATTAAGGTGTGAACTGGGGCTTGTTTCTGCCTAACAAGAAACTGCCTCTCCCAAAGGCATCTTGTGGGAAAAAAAAACCCAGGCAGGTATGTTCCAGTCAGGACAGATTTGTAAGAAAAAAATTAAAGAAACTAGCCCAATTTGTCTTGTTTGTTTCAAGGTATATCACATATTCATAATTACAGTATGTGTAAATGGGTTTACCAGAAATCAGGATGAGAAAGTTTCTATCTTGTGAGCAATCCTGGAAGCTAAAAAGTAATTTTCACTCAGCTCTTTAAAAAGCACTTGGAAGTACACAGAAATCCTCTGGACTGAGAGTCTGGGGTCCCCTGACCTGCTGTTCTTTTTTCTTTCCTAGTGGGCTGAATTTGTCTTGTTCACTGTTCTCCTCTTTGCTGTGTGCGTTGTTTTCTCCATCATGGGATATTTCTATGTCAGTGTGGATCCAGAGGACGTAGAAGAAAAGGAAGAGAAGAGACAGTCCCCAAGCAGAGGAAACATGATTAGTCTTGTTACGCAGAAAACAAAGCTCTAACACATCATGGGTTGGGAACTTTTTTTTTTTTATTTTTTATTTTACTTAGTAGATGAGAAGGTAAAGAAAGGTAGGGACAATGTTATTTTATTTTATAGCATTGCAGTTGTTACCACTCAAAATGTAGCCACCTTCTAAATGTGACAAAATAGCCCTCTATAAAAACAATGGGGGTCCTGAAATCGGAGCAAAACTCCCTGGGAAAGCTTCTCCGGTATTAAAAGCCCTTATAAGTAAATACAGTGTAATTTAAAACCTGCCCATCTTTTTAAGCATGGAATGCTTTCCTATAATTTTGTTTTAAACATATATTTAGGGCAGCAGGGAGGAAGGGTGGAATGAATGCCATATGACAGCAAAATTTGGAGATGTTGGGAGAAAAGAATAAAAACCCGGTATAGGAATTGGGGAAGAATAGATGTTACTGACAGAAGAATTTTTAATGCTGTCGTCAAGGACTGAAAGTGTTACACATGATCCCAAAGGATTTCATCATGTAACTCTCCTTATGAGTATTTCACCCCATTATTGCATGTTATGAATGCTTCTGATTTATGACTTTCACCTACAGGCTCAGAAGTAATAACAGGGAATTAAATTCTGCTGGCTAAAATATTCCCAAAACACTACTGAAGAAGATATGAGTGCTACCATCTCTCTGACACCCATTTTTTCCTGGAGATTTTTAGCAACCGATGGTGTTCTTTGATTAGATGTGATTAGAGAATTGGTTTACGCTTTCTTATTTCAGAAATCCAGGCAGTTATTTGCCATCTTCCTATATATTAAGCCTTTATTGGGCATTTCCTTTTACAGCACCTGCCACTGCAAGTTAGGATATGGCTGATTTCTTATCTCATGCTTCAGTTATTCCCCACTGGGAGACATGTTGCAGCAGTTTCTATAAAATTCCAGGCATCCTGCAGTGAGTTAAACAAGGATGCACTTTATCATTTTTTCAGTCTACGAGAGGAGACCATGGCATAAGAGTTTTTTCTTTTTCCTCCCTATTTTTGTGTCTCTCTACCAAACTTCGGATATAGCTATTTTATCAGGATTGTGATATAATTGTCTGATTTTTCCTCACTTGCGTGAAGCTATGATTTCATATTCTACATAGAAATAATTCAACCATTGCTGATCTAGTAAAACTCCTGAGAGAGTCCTTGCCTTCCTCTGCCATTCCAAGGCCACAGTTGTAACAGCTATGGCATAATTTACAACAAGGTTATCAATAGGATCTTCAGGAGAATAGATTTTAAATGATACTTTCCTCTTCCAACTTGGCATTGGCCGTAGGTGGTCACTGATGCTTTGATTTCAGGAGATCATGAAATACGTGTTTAATTTCATTCTTGATCAGGACAATGCTAGGGAATATGCTTGGCTTGACATCTCTGCTTCTTTAATGTGCTTCCTTGTGTGTGTGTCTTCATGACTAAGACCGAAAAAACACACTTTCTAGTTTATAATTAGAAGCCTCACAGCCTCAGATTGTTTCGTTTGCTTCCTGTCCTAAATGGTCATGGACTTTCACTTTCTGCATAAGCTCCTGCCTGCTGTGAAACAGCATCTGGGTGTTGGGCCAGAGGGTACCGTGGTCTCAGACAAGTGACAACAGGCTGCGAGTGTGCACACAGAAACACTTATGTGGTTTGGTTGATGCGGAGACATTTATTAAGCTGTGGTGGCCGGATCCGGGCGGCTGAACCCTGTAACACAGCAGGGAGTGAAGGACACTGAAAGCCATCTATTAGGTCATCCGACCTGCTCCTCGGAAGCCAAGTGAGGATTATTCCCTCTGCTCCTTTCTGGTATTGTTCTCCTGCCGTGATTCTTTATGTGGGTTCTTTCTCCTCCAGGCATTGTTGTTTTCCTAATCCTGTTTTATGATACACTGCGAATCAGCTCAGAGGCTGCTGAATCATTCTACTATGATGCCGTTTGACCGGTTTCCAGTTTGAAGCACTAATAGAAAGCATTTCTTCCTCTCCCCTGCAAACAAAACAAAAATCCCCAAACTGAAGGAATGGACAGGCTCCAGTAGCACTGAACAGACACAATTTAGAATTATTGGAGCATTTAATTTTTTATAAGCCTTGAATTTGGAAGTATGTTGGGGTTTGAGGGCATATGTGGTGAAAAGACAATTGAAAATTATTGGAGCACTTTCCTTGGGAAGCACTTGGTACATTGCAGCTCAAAGTGGCAGGAGGGGAAAGCAAAGCGTCCAGAGGATGCAATCTGTAAGACTACATATGCTTGAGAACTTCTTGATTTTTAAGGTTTTTTTTCCTTACTGGCGGCACTACCAGAAGCTGTCACACAACTCTGAGCTTAATTTAAAGGAATCATTCCAAACTCATAAAAGATAGATTTAGGATGTCATCTGTATCTGCTTTTTAGACTCCTGATGCCAAATTGCCCCTTTCCAAACATCTCCATGTTCCAAACCATCACCATAATGCTAGGGGGAGAAAAATTGCAATTCACAGTTGGGAAGGTTATGAACAGGAAGGCAATGCTATAAATAAAGTGCTAACATGAGGCTGGGGGCTGCTTCTGCAGCCCTTCTGGGGAATTGCTTGCCCGACAGAGTGTGAGGCTCTGTTCACATTTCTCTTCCAGCTGACACAGTTATTTCTTCCCACTGGCTCATCATCACCTATTGGAAGCTTTGTGCCCCTCTCATCTGCCGGCTTGGTGGCTGGTGTGATCCTTCCCCCCCGTTTCAGCTGCAGTCGTAAAGCTTTGCTAATTGGACCCGTTTATTTGAAATGCACGATCAGTTTGGAGGGATTTCCACTGGGCGTGCTGACAACCAGCCAGGAGCAGGTTAGGGGCTGTAATGAAGAGCTGCCCCTGCTTTAGCTGGAGAAGGTGGCAAAATAGCACATTCAGCATCGCGCTTCTCCAATTTTAGAGCCACAACTCCCATCCTCGGAGCCCATTCATTGCTTTCAGATGGACTCAAGACTGGATCAAAGATTTAGGACCTGAGTCTGTGGAGTATTGGGGTCTCTGGGTTTTTCTTCCATATGGTCAGCTCAGAGATGGGACCATGCACGGCTCTTAACACCCAATTTTAGAACAATATTCCTTATTCTTCCTGATTCTTTGATTAGAATCAGAGGAAAAAGCCAAAATAGTGATAGTATATGTAAAGTTATGTGAACCTCTGGAGAGAAATAGCAGCCTGCTGCCTGTCCGGCTTCACCTGTTCACTGAAGGGAGTTTCAGCTGTTCGTGGAGTTTGCCCTGGAGCAGATTAGGGAAAGCTCACACCGGCTGCTTTGGAGGCTGACCTACAGAAATGGTCATCTCCAGCTAAGGGACAGTAATGAGCCGGTGGGGATCTGTAGGTATGTTGCTGCACAAGCCTTCATGGAGATTGCAGGGGTTTGATTTCACTGTGGAAGTATGTATATTTATCTGCTTTTCTGAAGGATGCTTTCAGATATTTTTTTTTTGTGTGCAGCAAATTTACCTTAAGTTGCACTGGCTGTTATTCAACACATTTTCCCCCTTATCAGGTTGTAAGTGTGGCCAGTGTTATTTCCAGCTTTGCATGAGATAAGCATAAAAATGAGATTTCAGACTCAGCAAAACAACTTCTTAGCTGTGGGTTCCTTAAATTTACCTCTTCTCTCTGAGGCAGTCGAACATCTTTAGGTAGCAAGCTGCTTTGTGCAGCTCAAGGGGCTTGCATCTCTCTTTTCTTCCCTCTCCCTTTCCCGACAGCCCTCCAATTCCAGAAGATGAGCCCTGGGAGGGCTGCATGGAACTGGCTCGGATGCAGCTAGTGTGTGCTGTCTTTGCTGTCTGGGAGGCAGAAGCCTGGCCAGGCACAGGAGCTGATTCCTCTCTTGAGACCAAAATCGAGCTGGGCAAGGTAGCCTGGGGCGGGGCTTGCCCTGGTGGAAAACGTGGTTTTTCCGAGCAGTGATCTGGATGTGAGTTTTATTGTGAAAGTGAAATGTGAGCCAGTGAAAGGAAAAGTTTTCACTGGCCTTGGCTTTGAGCTGAGGTGCTCTACAAAGAGGCTGGATACTGCCAGGCTGGGAGGAAAGAAAGGGCTGTTTGATCAAGGTTTTCCCAACTCCTTAATGAACAGCTGAAATTCCTCACGTGGAATTAACTGGAGAGAAAATGAGATTGAAGAACTGGAAAGCTCAAATGATAAAACAATGAATGACTTCAGACCTTTCGAAAAAGTGCCCTCCTAACTGGTCGTGAAGGGCTGTTGGGGGAGTTAGTCACCTGTGGCTTGAGAGCTAGCTCATCATTCCAGAGTATTGTGAAAACCAGCATACAGACCTGTGTTGGTAGGTCTGCAGTGACCAGAGGAGGAGGCTGTGCTCCTGGTCATGCCCCCACCATCCAAGACAGACACCATCTGGGCTTCCCTTTAGGTCAGAAAAAAACAGCTGAAGGTGTATTACAGATGGGAGGGGAACTACAGTGAGGGATAGTTAACAGGCAGTTTTAGCCAGGGTCACACGCAGAGGAATAATCTTCTCCCTGTGTTGAATTTCTTTGCCTAGCTACAGGAAGCACTTTCTGCCACCGGCAACTTCAACCTGGGAGTTCAGCTCCATGGCAAATACTGCAGCAGCTGAATTTTGGACAGTACCAGACTCTACATTTCATTAGCACTACTTTTGTTATTGTGATATAATTTTAAAATAGCATTTAAGAGATGTTTCTGGTCCCAGATGTTGACAGATCTGGCTAGGGTTTTGCATCTTGATAGCTGGATTTACCATAGTCTTTCATGTTGACATCTGTGATAAACCTGTCATGTATAAGTAGATGTTGCAGGGCCCTTGGATTTCCCCAGCAATTTAGAAAAAAAGCAAAATCCTCAGCGAAGCTGGCTAAGCATGAACTGTGGCATTGCTTCCTTGTCGGAGCTGCCCATGTGCTTTGTAAAGCAGGGACCCTCAGTCATCTCTTGCAAAGTGCTTCTCAGAAAGACAAAAATGGGGGACGCTATTAAA